AGGCTTGGCTGATCTGCCTCTTCCCCCCCCCATCTGTTTCCTGCCCCCCCCCCAGCTTCCCCCAGTCCGTCCCCAGCCTGAAGCCTGTTGTTAATCTTTGCACAGAGTGGGGTCTGCAAAGAGGGCCCCCCCCCGGCTTCCCTCTAATCGGGTGGGGAGAAGAGGGAAGGGCAGGAGCCACAAAAGCTCAGCGCTGGCACGGATGGGCCACGGAGGGAGGGGGCGCTTCCTGGATCCTCTCGGCTCTCCCAGCCTCAGCCCAGGGTAGGAAGGAGGGGGGGGAATGGCCTTCTCCCAAGTGGGGGCCCTGCCTTCTGGGGTGTCTTTTCTAGCTCTCCCAGTGGGAAGTTGCACCCAGGACCTTCTGGGCCTGAAGCAGGCACTCTGCCGCTAAGCTTTTGGCAACTTGGCTACGTAAGGTGCTAGTCCTCATGGGTTGGAATAAAAGGCCAATTGAAACCAGAATCTGGTGATGCTGGGGGGGGGGGTGACCCTGTAAGCTTGGGATTCCCAACACGGCCCAGCTGAGGTGGGCGAACCCATCAAGGATCGGCCCCTCTCGGCTGTTGTCTGTCGACTTCCCAGGCCTCGCGCCGGCTGTGGCTTTGGCCGATTCAGGCAACAGAGCCACGCAGGCTGCCCTGGGCTGGCATTCCGCTTGCCTGGACGGTGGCCTCGGGCGGCGTTTGCTGCCTGGCGCTGACGGGCCTCTTTGCTTCTGATTTGCAGAGAATTCCACCCGGTCAGCCAACTTCAGTTCCCGGCTGGCGGCGAGCAACCGGACGGAGGCGGGGGAAGGCGAAGGGGTGGCGGCGGCCCTGGTGGCGGAGGAGCCGGCCGTGCGCATGAACGGCTGGCTGATTTGCAAGGAGCAGGATGAGATGCTCAACCTGGCCTTCACAGTCGGATCCTTCCTGCTGAGCGCCATCACCCTCCCCTTGGGCATCGTCATGGACAAGTATGGCCCCCGCAAGCTGCGCCTGCTGGGCAGGTGAGTGGCGGCGGCCATTGCCCCGATGCGCTGCGTCCTCTCTGCGGGGGGTGAGGTGGGGTGTCCCTTCAGGCAGCGGGTTCAAGAGGAGACCGCTGTGGAGCTTTGAGCAGTGGGCTCTCCCGCTGGCAGGGGGGGTTGGCTAGATGGCTCTTGGGGGTCCCTTTTCTTTCCCAGGGGTGTGGCTCCTGCAAATGGCTCGCTGGCCCCCCTCTGCATCCTCTGGATGGACCCCTTCACTTCCTGTTCCAGATGTTCAGGGCCCTTTCTCGCGGCAGTTGACCCTAGAGGGTGGCGGGAGAGAACCCAGCTGGCTGTATTTGGGTGGGGTGGGGTGGTTGGAGGTCGGACGGACGGACGGACGGACGGACAGGGTGCTGACCTCATCGTGCCCCAGGAAAGGAAGCAGCGCCATCCCACATGGCTTTGGGTGGAATTTTTCCCTGTCAAAAGAACGGCCACATCCTGGGTGCATCCCCTTTAATTAAAACAAGACGGTCGAGCTTCTAGTCCTCATGGCCTCACGGATGAACACAGGAAGGAACCGCTTGTTCCAGTCCAGTTTTTCTTTCTGTATGTTTGCAAAAAGGGCTTTCCCGCTTTCTGCTTTCTGGGCTTGAGCCCCAATTCAGCCCGGATGGCCTGATGGCGGGGCTACAAAGCAGGAGGAGGGAGACTTGGACTGTTTATTAGACGTCTGGATTGTACCCTTGATTAACGTAGGGGGGCAGACGGGCGGGGGCGCTTCCTGGGCAATGACTGGGTCAAAGGTAGAAAAGGGGAACACTGCCCTGGAGTGTTTGTGGCTCTCTTGCCAATGAAGTCGGTGTGGGGGGGAACGGGGGATGGGACGGGTTCTACTGCCCTCCCGGCCTCCTGTGCCCCCTTAGCTGCCCCCCCCCGTGACTGGCGCCCTCTTGTTTCCTGGCAGCGCCTGCTTCGCGGCATCGTGCGTGATGATCGCCTATGGGGCTAGCA